ACATATATATATATATATATATATATATATATATATATATATGTAACATATATCACAAAATAGGTATAAAAGGAAAAAATTATGGCGTACACAAACAATATTTAATTTTTTATCTTTTTTTTATGTATTGCATACAACATGGAAGGAAAATAAATTTTAATAATTTTATTTTTGTTTAAAAGTTTTAAATAAGGATACAATTTAAAAATAAACAAATAAATAAAGAGTGTATATATAATGTTGTTAATAGTGATGAATCTACTTGGAAGACAATATGAGCAATTGTCCAACTAACATTTCACGGTGTTTTACATTATATCACAAGTGAAAAATATGGATTTAAAATCAGAGTTTTAAGATCGGTTAAAAGGTAACCGATCTTAAAAGTGACGCGGTGACAATTTTGTAACTAATATGAAAACTTTTAAGATCGGTTAAATTTTAACCGATCTTAAAAGTACTTTTAAGATAAGTTATTTTATGACCGATCTTAAAAGGTATGTCTGACACAACTTTTAAGATCGGTTACAAAACAACCGATCTTAAAAGTTATATCAAACATAACTTTTAAGATCGGTCATAAAATAACCGATCTTAAAATTTAAGTATCAATTTTAAAAATGTTACATTTAAAATCGGTTATTTAAGAACCGATTTTGTATGTAGTATACAAAATTAGTTCTTAAATAACCGATTTTAAAAGTATCGTCAGAAACCTTTTATATTTCCCTCCATTCTTATTCTCTTTAATCTTTCCCTCCATTCCTTTTTTTACTCCTCGCGCTCTCATTTTCTAAAGTTTCCCATAATGTAAATTTCGTTGTCGTTTTCGTTTTCGTTTTCTCATACTCTTCTCGTGTCTCTTTTTGTCTTCTCATGCTCTTGTCGTGTCTCAATGTCAGTTCTTTTTTAACTAATGTAAAAGGACATTTTACATTAGTTCAATTTTTAACACACACACACACATAACTTACTAACTTATTCTTTGTAAAATATAATTGGTATAATTAACTTAACAAATCTCACTAACACAAGACACACGCGCATGCACACACAGACACACACACCCACACACACACACACACACACACACACACACACACACACATATATATATATATATGACAATAAATAATTAAATTTAAGAATTTATTTGATAATTTTTAAAATTTTAACTTTAAGAACTAATGTGATAGTGTTCATTAGTTTCAATGATGAAAATGGTTGTTGTTTATTCAGTAACTCATATAGAAATTAATGCGATGATATTTTTGAAATTTAAGAGAATATTTCAATGTCAGTTCTTTTTTAACTAATGTAAACGAACATTTTACATTGGTTCAATTTTTAAACAATGTGAAATGGGACAATTTATATCAATTTAAAATTGAACTGATGTAAAATGCGCTTTTAAGCCCTACAATGCAAGCCTCACTTTCATATCACATGTTTATGTTCTTTGTCTCCCTCACGAGTCCTGTGCAATCACACCCCTTCTCTAACATTTGTTGGGCTTCCTTGCCCCATTATGTCTCCTTACCCCATTAATTTTCAATGTCGACAAAGGTGTATTAAGTAACTCTAAGCATTTCCTAACCTCTTGATGATGTTATTGTTGGAAGCCCTTGGTGACTTTGTCGTCATCCTTGTCACTACTATATATTAGGTTAGGTATGTTGTCCTTTGTTTATTATTGTTGTGTACAAGTATAAATGTTTAGTAAATGTTCCAATTTGGTTACCTAATTTTGGGATATGTGATCAAATGATTTGGTATGTAGACGGTTGCTGTGAAAGAGTTGTGCAATAAGTCAATGGAGCACCTAGTGAGGGAGATACAAAAAGAGAGTGTGGAGGTGAGCAAGAAGTACATACATGCACTCAGTGGCAGATTTGATAGTGATTGAGGGTTGGTTGTTGTTTACAGTAGGGATAGTAGTGAGTTTGAGCCAATGGGCTAGCGAGTAAGGTAGACATTCAAACCTACCTCGCCTAGCCCACCAAGCCAAATGATAGGACAGGTTGACTTGCCTATCCATTTAATTTTGAATATTATTCTAATTTATTTTGTAACTTATTTCATGACATTATGGTTTCAGTTATATTTACTTTGTAGACTGTGTTGTAGTATAGCCTTGTTATTGAAAAACTATTAATATTTGTGTTGTGATTTTTAAGGACTATTATAATTGTGTGTTATTGAAAAACTATTAGTAATAGTTTTGATTGAAAGAGAAAGACTTTTAGCAATTTGTAATTTAAAATTTTTGTGTTATAGTCTTAAAGTTGAAGTTTTGACGGGCTAGCTCACTGACCACCAACCCACCCTTAAGTTACAAATCAAGATTTTTGGCCCACTTTCAACAAGTAGATTAGCCTATCCCACCCTATTTCAACAAGTAGATTAGCCTATCCCACCCTATTTTTGGAGGGCTAGTGGTGAGGCAAGTCATAACAAGATGGATTGACTTATTTTACCACCCCTAAATCATAATAGTACAATTGTATTTTGACACAAGTGCTTTCTACATCGGTTAATTAACAACCAACATAGAAATGTCTAAATTTGCATTGGTTGATTCTACATCGATTCAACAACCAATGTAAAAAATCTAAATCGTAATAGTGACATATAGTGTGTTTGATTAACAAAGTTTGTGTCATAAGTATATGGACAAGTTTTCGATCCCTAATTTTGTGTATATGGAGGAACATCTATTGAAAAATGTTAAATAGATATCAATATATTGAGGAATTGGCCTTTGAGTCGATGTGGGATACTTGAGTTCACAAAAAAAAATAGAATTCTATATAAAAAAAATATTTCGACATTGTAAAATAAACGAGTTTTGATTTGATCCTTGTAAAAAAATATTCTTTGTTTTTCATTTTTCCAAAATTTGTAAACAACGTTTTTAGTCCTTGTAAAATATTTTTTGTCCTTATAAAGTTAGTGTAAATTTTAGTTTTGGTCTTTATAAAGTATCTTTCTTTGATTTTTATCTCTCTAAAATATAAAATTACTATTTTTTTTATCTCTACCAATGATTTTAAGGTAGATAAATAAAATTTATTTTAAGGACCTAAAAAAATTTTACAAGTGTCACATATTAACATGATATTACTAAAAGTTATGGATATAATACATAAAATTGTCTCTTAACTTTATAATAAATAAATAATTAATTACTTAATAATAAAGACTAAAAATAATATTTTTAAATTTTAAAGAGAAAAAAAACAAAAAAAATTATAAAAACCAAAATTAAAACTTATCTATTTTATAAAAATTAAAAACATATTTAAATAATTAATAAATAATGTTTTGTCTTAATTACATCACACTCAAATAAATTTTTTTTTTATTTATATTAATTTATACGCTCCACCCCTTTCTCTATATTTAATTGAATGAGCCAAAGAACATACTTAATTTAATAATAGTATAAAGTTTTAGACAAAAAATAATTTGAAGTATGATATTTTAGTTGGATTTAGGATTTAATAACGGTGGGTATGATTGATTTTTAATTAATTTCACCTTTGACTTAATCGAGAACAGCGACCGTTTAATTCTATTATTTTCAACCAACACAATCTAACATAATAATACAAAACCAATAATAAATTTCTATCGATTATAAAACGAGAGTCTACTCTATAGCATTAAATTATTAATGCTATTGATTATAATTTATAAAGCAAGAGTCTATTCTATAGTATTAAGTTATTAACATTTTTCCTCAAGTGTGATGCCTAACAAATGTTAGTCCACCCACCAAATTCACTAACAACATTTCTTTTGAGGTCCATTAACAACATTATTTTACTATACAAAGACCATATCATTCTCCATGCAATGTAAGACAAATAGAAAGACGACAACTAGCCCTAAGCCAGACGTGTTGTTGTGTGGTTATAATTAAGTGGACCGATCGATTTCATCAAAACCTAGCATATCCTTTTGGTCACACAACAACAACAACTAATTAAAGTATTAAACTATGATTGTGTGTTTCAAGCCTTCTAAGTTATGACTTACGATAGCATAATCAAACTTATGCAACCTCTAATTTGGCCGCGAAGATTCGTAACACAACCAACAAAAGGGTGGAAGGTGGTATTTTTAGATTAAATAGGGATTGGACCTACTTGGAGATCAAGAAAATAAATTTTAAAAAATGATTATTCTTTTAATATCAATTTCTCTTTGCCTATAAAAAAATAAATAAATAAATAAATATATTTCTTTCGTGATCCTCTGAATAGACACAATAGAAAGAAACCTCTAACGGTAACTCTATTTTAGGCCATTCGCGGCTAATACACCAAATTGTTGTTATATGTAGTCAACGAGCCACTTAGGAGGGTCTGTGATTCGTTTGGGCTTTAGCCCAGTAACGGACGTTGGGTTGTGTTGTTTGGGCCGCTATCATAGCTCGGTGGGCCAAGACAGACCTTGTTTGCAAGGTTAGTTGGGGTCGAATGAAAGGGAATGCGTGAAGTGTAGGCATGACAATCTAACCCGCTCTCGTGAATATCCGTCCAAACCCACCCTGATTTAGACGGAAAAAACTTGTGTTTATCGGGTTCAGATTTTTTCTGATTGATAAAATCGGGAGCGGGGACGAGGATGGGGATGTTAATACCCGCTCCGCCCCGTCCCCACCTCGCTTAATAATATAATTAAAAAATTATTTATATATATAACCAAGAGAGAACAAACTCTCTAAGCAACCACCAAAGCCTTCAAGTGGATGTCCCTTGCCTTGGCCTCCTACACCTTTTAAGAAGCACTCAACCACCTTCAAGACTGAATATTAGTACTAAAAACTGAAAAAGAACAATTTAGAATAGCTACACCAATTGGTAGAAGAAAATGTGACAAACTAGAAAGAGTTCCACAAAAATGACAAGCAACAA